TAGCAACTTTGTGACAACTAAAGTTTAAAAAATGCACTTGATTGCATAGTGACAGATTTGCAGAACATTTTTCATCACACACACATATGTGCTTTCAGTTATTAATAAAATGCTTCTGCCCTTAATCTGCCGTTGCCTGAATATACAATTTCAGTGACTCGGATAGACAAATACTGTTAAGGAATTCTGTTTTCCCTATTTGAAGTGCAATTGAAACACACCAAGTGAAACTGAATACTGTATCTTTAAAACTGGCTTCTGCATGCCACATAAAGGAATACAGAATCCTTTTTCTTTAAAGTTCCTCTTGGAATGGAATGACAACAAAACTTTCTCTTCTTTTTCCTCCTTTTTCTTTTACCCCCCGCCCCCTTTCCCCTTTTACACAAGGAAGACTCAGCTGCCCTGGATAACACCACAGGTAGATATTAAAATGGAGACAGCCATTATTTAGTGGTGACAGGAATATAAATACATGCACTAACCTATAAACCGGTGTTTACTTCAGGAAAGTAAGTCATATTTTTCCTCTGATTGCTGTGCTGTCAGTTTAATGCAGCGTAAATAAACAGTAGGTGCATGATAGCTTTAAGTAGAAAGTGTTCATTCCACAAGAGGAGCAGACTACTGAAGCCTGATGCCTATAATGGCAAAAGCAGAACTTCCATTTTACCTGGAAATATATCCTCCCAGGCTAAGAGATTTGTGGCTTTTCTATTAAATTAATTTGTCAAAATTCTATGAAAAATGTTACATACGCAAAGGACTTTACCAAAAACATTCATTTTTGCAGCCCTCAGCTTGAACCATTTGAAAAAATAAAAGCCAATCACTCCTCTGTAATTTCATCATCCCATTGCTCTAAATGAAAGCTTTATATAATCAACCTAATATAACAGAAAATAAAATGACATATAGAATTGCCTATACTTTGAGTTACTCTGTTCTTATAAATATATTCCCTGACTGAAAGTAAAAAAATTCCCCTTTGGAAAAAGCAATGATTTCTGAGAAGATTGTATATACACTCTACATCTATTAACATAAATTATAAGAAAGTAAAATGTTCCAGATGTGTTTAAACTGTTGTAGAATGAAAGTTTGTGCCTTCATTGGATATATATTAAATATATCTAGAGAGAGCAATGGCAGTTATGTACAGGAAGGCAATAAAATCCTTCAGTAGAATCTATGTTAAAATAGCGTAGATCTTAGAAATATGACTAAAACTTTTCAAAAATCATATTTCCTCCATTTTAAATTCATAAATCTGCTTTTAATGACATTTTTTCAATATACTGCAATCTATTTTGTTAATAAATAGAGGAATCTGCTTGGCTTTTTCTCCAAATACAGCTGGAAACCTTAAGAAGGACTTCAAATTTATCTATGACACTCAGATTAAAAAACAGGTGACAATAGAAGTACTTCTAAAAATTGAGTAGCTGACACAATATTTGATTGTTAAAACATTTGTTTTTTCAAGAACGCCAAAATACCCCAGCTTCATTTTCTAAACTGCAGTCGCACGCTTCTAAACCCCTCTCCACCCAAAACCAGAAATGCAGCGTAAGTTGGTGCGCGTTCAAGACTTTCCTACCCTCCAGATGCTGTTGCGACGAAGGGGTGAGTGTGCCCACGTTCCCCGGAGGATTTGGCGTTCGGGCACCCGTCGGATGCTTACGGGGCAGCGGATGGCACCATTTGGGAGTCCCAAAAGAGCTGCAGCAATCAAGGCAGGTGCTGCCCGGCTGACCTCTGGGGCCTACGCTGCAGAGCCCAACGGGACCCTCCTCAAATGCAGATTTGGGCTGCTGAGATAGATCCTCTCTGTTTCTCTCTCGCGCAAAACAGCATGTGCCATTAGTGAGCCACAGACCGACTTTTATCTGCTTTATAGCTTTCTCAGGGGTACGGAGCAGGTTAGGATTTATGCATATCGCTAAAATAACAGGAGTCCAGAAACAGAAACTGTGATAGTTACTTTCCTATTTAAAGCATCAACAAGAAAGAGTCTAAAAAGGAAACTGCTACTTTTTTAAAGTGTACGCACAAAAAGCATTCCATTTAAATATTTTTTGTTCCAGTAAACTCTTTTGCATACAAAGGACTTATTTATTACATATTTGAACTTGTGGGAAAAAGAGAAGGAATGCACTGATTCCTGAAATAACTCTACAGGCTTTTTGGAAACTTTACTCTTGTTCTTGTTCTACTCAGAATAGTCTTATTCCAGGGAAGGAGGAATTCCTTGGAGCCAGTTGTTTCTTTTCCACTAGCTGTTTGTATTCAAGAGTGGGCATATATAGCATATTAACCAACGATTTTAATTTTTCTTCTATTGCCTTATAATGTGTGTGTGCTATCTGTTCAGATGCACACTTACACTTGCACACGTTACCTCTTCTGCTTGCTCTTTTTGTTACCTACTCTACGTGATTACACATTTCTGCACAAATCATTACTTCGACTTGAAAAGCAAGGTAATACCAACAACAATCTGAAATGGAAAATGAAATGGAAAATGAGCGTATGCGTAAATGTATTAAAAAGCATATAGGAACACGGGATTGAAAAGAGCACTCTAAAATTCTACAAACAGTGCTGCAGAGTAATGAGATGATACAAATTACAGAGAACATCCTACATTCATGCCTTTACACTCTATGCTTACTGTTGCAAGTTGTTTTTTGAATAGTGCGCCTGATTTGACACATTTCTATCTAGTGAGTGTGTTAAATGCTTGAAGAGATAGTGAAATATCCAAGCATTCCTTGTGCTAACTAAAGTTGAAATTTTACACTTATTGTAACCTTTTCTAACAATGTGAGAAAAACAGAGTAAATATATTAAATTTGTTTCACAACAGATGCTTAGGTTGTTAATATTTAAGATGCCTATTCATGCTATTCCTGTCTGCACATTTGTCAAAAATGTAAGCTTGAATGCTAATGTTTGCCAGCAGACTACAGCAGACAAATATATGAATGTACTATACCAAAATAATATAAAGTAGAAATAAGGGACGGCTGCTAACTCACACCCAAGAAGCAGGGACTGCAAGGAAAGGGTCCTGCTAGATCATACGCCTTAGAGTCTGTGAATCTGAATTTGTGAGTTATTTTCACGGAAGCACCGCACTCCGTTGGAGCGAACAAAAACCGATGGCGAGCTTTCGTCATTTTAAACGCATTTCAGCTTAGGAGCTGGTGCGAAGTGTTTCAGCGAACTTGCGTTTTAGCGAAGTTTCTCCAGCAGGCAGCGAAGCCTGGAGCCTGGCAAAGGAAAACTTAAAACCGGGCAGGTGCCGCCTGTCAGGAGCGCTCCGCCCGGGCAGCGGCCGGAGACG